AGTCGGGTCACCGGAATAGTCAAAGTAGGGGGTGTGGGAACTGTGGTGTTTGAACGGAATATTTGCAGAAATATTTGTTTCTGTTTACATATTCTCCCCGTGGGGGTATCCCTTTCCTTCTGATTGGTATGCTATGCGTTACTGCTACGGCACGCAATGTCCGAAAACGCTGAATAAACTACCCCCCGCACTTTCACTCTCCTATTCAGCCGGCGGCAGAATATGAACGTATCGCAATAACGCATAGCATACCAATCAGAAGGAAAGGGGTACCTCCATGGGGAGAATATGTAAACAGAAACAAATATTTCTGCAAATATTCCGTCCAAACGCCACAGTTCCCACACTCCCCTACTTTGACTATTCCGGTGACTCAACTGAAAACTTCCAAGACGTCTTTAGCCTTTACATACCTACCGCGCTGGTTTATCTTGTACCTGAGACTCTTCTTCGAAAACACGGAAGAGGAAAGAGAAACTAAAGACAATCCCCAGTGAAAAAAACCGCACTGGTACGTGTTCAACACGTCATCAATCCATGCAATGATCTGATCCGACCATTCTTCAGCTATTCCGTCCTCGAAAGTTTGAACAACCGATCAATGACGTATCCAGCTCGCCGAAGAGACAAAAACGACACAGGCTTAAGCGCGCAGGACATATAAAGGCTGTGACCACACAAAAACTGTGAATTACCAACAAAAGTCAGCGTATGTTGTTACGCTGCTAACCCCCATGGAAATTTAGCTTGGATATTGTATCAGCTATAACCTCTTAATTCTTCCTTTTCAATGATCAACGTTTTAGCTAACAAGTAGCGTACTGCCACCGAAGGCAAGATAAAACACATCAATGTTCGAGTGCTGCCTTAAACTGTCGAAACAGCAGATACGCCCTGTACCATCACTGAGCTTTTTTTGAGACTCGTCTTCGACGATCGGCATTATAGCACTCGCCTTGTTCAACCCTAACAAAATGAATAGATGTCGCAATATACCGACGAGTCCTTCCAAAAGATCCTAACACAAGACCCATTTTCAAAAATCCGACCAAAATTAGTAATCAATAGTTTACATTGAGCATTATTTCAAGACCAACAGAGACGGTCTAGCATCGTAATTTGTGCGTGATCGAGACCTTTGACAAATCACCGGACAACGCTGGACTAGCTAGTTCAGAAGCAAGCCAGATACAGTGTTTGAACATAAGGCATACATATGCAAGGCGAACAAATCAGATCCATTATTCACCTCTAATAATCAAACAACTGAAATGCTATGCTCTTCCTAGTTTCAATATCGTACTTAGCAGAAACTATTACACTTTATGCGAAAAGTAAACAGTACACATAATTGAATTCTAAGAGTAACTTGAACCCGTGCAATAAGGCGTCGTCGAAAGACGTCGCATCCACCAACGTCGTCCGTTCGTTTGTTGATAGCACGTCCTATCCTAGAAGGATGACATCATACAGGATATCATCAGCTAAAAAGTGGAATGCTGTAGTATAAATTTTAAACTGTGATCAACAGAGACATAGAAGAGGCACACCCACAAATCAAGTATAATTGTATACAAGAACGACATGTCACAAAACCGAGCACACCATTCTAACGTACAAAAATGCGAACTCTTGGGAGGGATAAGAACACAACTAGTACAATCAAACTGAAGCTAACAACCCAGTAACGGTAGAATATGAACAAGACCGCACATACGAAAACGTGACCACCGACTGCGACGCAGCGCGTGTCGCGTCATCGAAACAGCGATCGATTGTGTGACCTGCGAATCTAAATCGTATACGGTGCTTGTTGGCAGCTAGCCAGCGTTCGTTCAAACGTTGTGCGCGATCGATTTGTTCCTTCCGGATTGACTTCAATACATCGGAAGTGGTTTGGTAATTAATCTTTGGCACGATGCAGCAGCAAAGAGGAGTGGGAACGCCTGGTCAGCCACTGGGACGATATCCACCCCAGGTATGTGGGCTGTGTTTCGCTTGATATTTCCTCTTTTTTTCTCTTGGTTCCTCCCATTACATCGTTGTTTCTTCTCGTCAACCTCAACACAGTGAAATGCGTTGAAGTAAACCAAGAAATAACAAGCAGGGAGAGGCATAACATCCTAAATATCCTCGACGAGCTTCCACGACTCTAAGAACTTTGGCTTAATGTGAGGTCTCTCTCAGTAAATATTGGAATTACAAGAAATGTATAGTCCTCATGTGCTTCATTAGAGATTTGTCTTTTCTTTGCCATTTACGTAATTGTCTAATCATCAACTGTTGTTTGGAAAAAAAGCTGAGCAAGAGCCTATGCCGTATGATCAGAGGGAGTTCAAACAAGACTGGTAAACAGCGCTAATTTTTGGAGAAGTAGCCGAAAGAAGGGATGTGGCTTCAGCTTTGGATTGTTTCCTAAGGAAGCTGCATGTGTAGCCCTTATGTTCATACGCAGGGATTCCGCGGAATGAGCGGAAAAAGGCCACATACGTGTCGATATGAAGAATCCGAGAAATCCACAGACTTCGCAGGCTTCGCAGAATGCGCGGAATTGGGCGAATCGGTGAAATCAAAGAAGAAGTGAGAAAAACTGATTGTTCACCTGGCTGTTCTCGGCCCTCTGGGCTTTTCTTCACATTCCGCGGAATCTGCCTTTTGTTTGAATCCATTCTTTTTCCGGAGGCTCCGCGCATTCTGCGAGTCTGCGGATTCTGTGGAATATTTCTATTTGAACGCGGCCATACTTTGCGACGTGAGAGATTTGAGGAGTTCACAACAAGGACCGTACCAGCACCAGTCTAGTGAAAAAGAGGATCCGCGGAAAAAGATAGATATTCACCATTCTCCGATTCTTGGATTTCGCGATTTTCGGATCTTTCAAGGTTGCAAGGTATGGAATCAGCCTAAGGGAGCATTAGAATTGTTTTAACAGTGGTCCCTAGATCAATTTTGATGGCCGTTTGCATTTAACATCTCGTACGAGGGACGTAATCGCAGCTACTCTGAGAAGATTCATGAGAACATGGGCTCAATTCTTCTCATAAATTTCAGCGGTCCTACTCCCCACTTTACATAATTGGTACCCAACAGCTTCGCCAATGCGATCTCTCCTGTTTCTGTTTCACCTGGACTGAAAATTATGATATTTACCCAAAAGCTGCACTCTGTGATGGCTTCTAACTCTTGAAATTTTGTGAATTTTCATACAGTAGCATTTGTGTACTACAACTTTCAGCCGGGTGCCACCCCACAGTCGGCCATGAGGCGGCCGGGAGGTCCACAAATGCCTTCTCAAGGTCCACCAATGCAAGCTAACCGAGTCTCTCAGCCACTTCGTAAGAAGAAGAGATACGCGGATAAACTCATTTCACCCCAGGTAAGTAACGTACGTAGTTTTTTTTCACAAAATTACTTGAAGATTTGACTGCTATGGGCAGGATGCGTGTATGCTCTAGTTCGCTGGCATGCGTGGCCGTTCGGCAGATTGGGGCGTGTCTCACGCCGTCAAAGCCGTTCTCTGCCCTTTGTTAAGCGCGCATGCGAGAAAAAATGGTATAAAACGAGTAGTACGAACGATATGATACGTTCATCACTTGCTCGCTTCAATGATGAGAACGGGTTTGGCACCGCGCCGCACTGGCACCTTTAACGCCCAACCGTCCGCAGCGAACTACACTGTATTTCAGGGTGGTTGACAATGGATTTTGATCCCACTGCGAAAAAGAATTTTTGTAATAGTACAATATCAGTTTTTTTTAAAGAACCTTTGATTGCTTCGTTTTTCCAACCTCATCATTTTCGCAATTTATTTATTCTTTACCAGTCGGATCGCCCAGCTGTCGCCGGGCGCTCCTCCTTCTGTGACATGGCCCAGCTTCGCCGGGCCATGCGGATTTGCCACGTGCTAAGTTACGGATCGTTGACCAACCACACTGTTCAAAGGAATCTCCTGCATCAGCCAACAACTGAAAAGCAGCGCTCGTTCCGTCAAGACGCAGAAGCAGCAGCAGCGCCCCCCCGCATCACAGGAGGGGAGCCAGCCTTAGCCAGCGATCCGACTGGTACGTTCATAACCTACACGGGAATAATGGAGCCTGTTAGGTTAGCTGCTGAAGCAGCCTATGATTCATGCATTCTGTCGCCTTAGAAGCTTCTTGCTTTGGAATGCACTCCTGCATTCAGCAATGGAACGCGTTAAATGGCCCTCACAAAGGTTGTTGATGGAGGATAATTGTGGTAAGAGTGATTAAGCTGATTGATGCTTGTTCATAACATCTCTGTAAACAAACCCCATGCATTTGGAATAGAGCTAGCTTAGCGGTCGTACATGATGTCGTTACTAATAAGCAGTGAGGAATGAGTTCTGTGAATCACTGAGGTCGTTAAATACTTGCTAGTTTCTAGTATCGATCGCATTGTTTTGTGAGCGGTGGAAGCGGACTTTTCCATGTCTCCTTTTAGGCTGCGGTTCATGCTTGCGACCATTGAAGAAATTGTAGAAAGTGCCGAAGTGAAGAAGTGTCGCTTGCCGAAAGTGCGGAAAGTGCGGAAAGTGAAGAAAAGCAATAGATACGTATCGATTTGAAGAAAGTGAAGAAATGCCGAAAGTGCGGAAAGTGCGGAATCTGAAGAAATGCCGAATGTGAAGAAAAGCAATAGATATGTATCGATTTGAAGAAATTGCGCTGAAAGCGCAGGAATGGCTGCGGAAAGTGCGGAGATCGCAGAACGTGCGCGAAAAGTGCGAAGTCTGGCAGAATGACAAAATGCATTAATACGTATCGATTTGAAGAAAAGAAAGCTAACTGAAAAGTCGGAAAGTCAAATCATACATATCTATTGCTTTTTCCTCACATTCCCGCATTTAAATGCGATTCCGCTTTTCGCACTTTCGGCACTCTTCACTTTCTTCATGGGTCGCAGCTATGAACGCGGCCTTACTCACTTTTAGCTCCTATCACTTCCGTACCCGCCAATAACACTCCCGTCCCGTATCACTATCATATCACCCTGTATCGCCTCTCGGATCCGAGGTCCCACTGTTGCTGTAACCTGCGTTACGAATTTGATGACCCTTCCCTTCCGAAGCCGCTTATCGTATCTTATCAACTGTTCACTTTCTGTCGCCCGCCAATGATGTTCCCGTCCCGCTTCCTATATCACCTCTCTTATCCAAGGGCCCACTGTTCCTGTTAGCCGCACTGTGAATTTGGTAGTGCTTCCCTTCTAATGCCCACTATCAGATCTTATCATCTGATATCACATCCTGTCACCTACCAATAATGTTTTCGTCCCAACCCCTATTTCACTGCTCGGAACCAACGTCCCACTGCTGCTGTCACCCGCGTTGCCGCAAGGTAGGCATGGCACCGATGTGCGTTGGGCTGCCGCATGTGGACATGATATGGTGCCTCCCCCTGTTAACGCCTCTTCGTATCTTATCATGCCGATTCACTTCCTGTCACCCACGCTTGTGCTTGCCTATCACACGCCCTACATCACTATCTTGAAATCAAATGCTCTCACTGTTACTGGGACCCGCGCTGCTGAATTCGTTAACACAGACAGACGCACGCACAACATGACACGAAACACACACACACACACACACACACACACACACACATACACACTTGCAGACATACTTAGCCGGATTATATAGAGTAGGATCTTTAGCAGGTTTGTTATCTTGTGTTTTGATTAGCGGTGTGTCTTCAGGTGAGAGAGCTTGTTCCGGAATCGCAAGCATACATGGATCTACTGGCTTTCGAGCAAAAACTTGATGCTACAATAACACGCAAGAAACTTGATATTCAGGTGTGAAGATTTATTGACAAGTTCCTACTTCAAGAGTTTTTTCAATCTGTGCACGTTTTTGGATTAAAAAAGATGTTGATTTGTAAAGTATTCGGGGCTATTCGACTGTAATGGCACTGTTAGGAATCACGAGATCTTCATATAAAGACAGCCTACGGTTCCATTCACCTCACAGAATCGCTGTTCGAATGGCTTGCCTAATTGCGAGTCAAGAGTTGCCTTTTGATGTTGTTGGTGTGAAACATTGGCGTTGTGCATTCTCAGGAATCTTTCTCGGGAATCTGCCATGAACCAAAAATTGGCGAAATGGGAGCTAACCGACGTGGAGCTTTCAGAAAAAGGTTGAAATAATGTAGGTGACCACTTTTGTTTTTGTCGATCCCCTGAGGTGCCTGTCCTTTTCGTCTATGAACCCGATCCACATGACAGGGGTGTATTGTAAGGGTTCAAGTAACCACCGAAACGCTGGTATTCCAACAAATCGTTTGCCTGGATAACTTAGATCGTTCACTGCGTGTTTCTTAGGTCACCTTTTAGGGATTAGCTAGTAAGTTCGAAAGCAGGGTAAGACCACAGCGTGTGGTTGGACTGCCTCAGACAACGTTTTGCATCTGGTTTTGAACTGACCAACGCGAAGAGGTCAGCTGGGCTCAAAAGCTGACGCCACTGCAAGATTCTACCATGGGCGACGTTTCTGGTGTGTCTCCGCCAATTTCACGCTGACTGAGAAACACCGCCTGATTGCTGCTGGAGTATCGAAATGTATTCCTGGGCTGCGGATTAGGAACAACTCATGAAGCTTCATATGTAGGTCACATGCTAATGAGAGCAGTCATCGCCTCTCTCTGTCATTTGACGACTAAGCAGCCATGGTTCTTCTCGGTTTTCCTCATACCCAAGTCGTGTTCATGAACGGAAATGAAACTGCGAAAGTATAGTCCATGCTTTTTGTGTGGCTGTCATATCTCCATAGACCTTTCTTCCGGTATATCTCGCTCAGTCTGCATCTGTTTTTTATAACCTTTTTTCATTTCTTGCTCGATAGATTTACATTAATGGTTCTGCAATACCAGTTCGAAGCGATTTCAGGAAGCTCTCAAAAGGCCTCAAAAAGTGAAGAAAAGATTGCGTATTTACATTTCACACACATTCATAGCTGGAAAGGAACCAGAAAAGGTCTGTTCTGTTTGACATCATGTTTGCATTATTTATTCTATTCTTACCTTTGCTACTTTTGCAGGAAGGAGATGAGGGCACTGTTCCGATGTGGGAGCTGCGCGTTGAAGGCCGACTGATCGAAGATCAGGTCAGCTAAAGAATGAATTGGAGACATAGCTTTCAAGAATGATACGATTTTTGATAGCGAATATCACGCTTTCCATGCTTCCGTCAGATATCACGTTAAAATGAAAAGCTGATATTGCAGAAACAGTTGTTCGAAATTAGGGGTGTTCTTGCATTACCTCAAGAACATTGGTCCTTTTCAGGCCAACGGATCTACTGCCGCCTCCGGTCATTCAACGCCAGCACCTCCTACGCGTCCTTTGCCCAAACGGAAGTTCAGCTCTTTCTTCAAAAGCCTAGTATGTTTACGAATTGTTGTTGTCTTATGCTTAGTGTGCAAAAGCACTGATTGTGAATGATTCTGTAATCGTGATCAGTAATGGCCGAAAGGGGGTTTGAACAGGATAAGTCCTTCCTGGCTGTCCAGCATGCGCTAAAAGCTAGGGAAAATGTAAAATGTGCGTTGCTAGGTCGGTTCGCCAGCAGCATTCGAAATGCGTAGGGCAGCGTTCAGAATTCGCAACGGCAGCGTTTCGATCGCACGTCCGGCGCGATCGATGCGTGCTTTCGACTGCGTCGATCGCTTCAAACTCGCCAACGAAGCGCTGCCGTCGCGAGGTATAAACACTGTCTAAGGCACACACCGATATATGACATTTATTTGAAATGTATTCAGGGATTAAGAGCGCGTTCAGACTTCGCGATCGCGCTACTGAGGGTGAAATTACTGCGGGAGGGGGTTATGTGCGTATATGTTTATTGATCCTGCTCTCTCTCTCTTTTCCTTCTTTCTTCCTTTGTGTACATAACGCCCTCCTAATTTTAAAAATATCTTTGAGTTATTTATTATTTCCTATGTAAAATAGTACTAAATATACAATATGCTAATTATTATACTGAATTTTGCATCTGAGTACGTTCAAGCGGAGTATTGAACATCTTGTTCCAAAAGTAAGACACGCAGAACTTTCAACAGCGGGTGATGTTGTTTCTCTCCCTTCCCCCGATTTTGCCAGTCCTCCAGATATTCACTTTACTTTTGTCACATTGTGTTTGCTTTGTTTGTTCTGCCATCCTCCAGGTCTATACACAACCTTTCCTTTCGACGGTTTCTGCAAACGTCAGTATTGCGAATATGAACACGGAATAAAAGACATCAAAAAAGGTCGAACTACTTTTATATCGTTTTTTGGAACTGCCTATTGGAGGCAGGATACAGCATCGTGATGTGAGAAATGGTGATATCAGTACGACTCCCCAGAACTTTGTTGTTGTTGTTTGTTGAGTTGAGTTGAACATGAACGAACATGACCCCCTCCCGCAGTAATTTCACCCTCAGTAGCGCGATCCGATCGCGCGATCGCGAAGTAGTGCAAGGACGAATACCGACTAAATCTAGGAGTGGTTTATTTAATCGAAGGGTGACTGTCTCCCACTATCACATCACGTACGTTGACCGGGGGTTGGTATATTCGGAAATGTCATAAATTTTTACTAGCGTGTTCACATTTTAAAATGTTGAGTGAATTTATAGAGAGCAGGCGGTTTTCTCACCATCAATCAGACACCGTTGCCTTGCATGGGCTCGCATACAATCAGTAATCCTACATTACTATGTGCGCGCCGTTTAATCCCGGCCCCACTCCCGCCAATGCTTCGAATCCTCAGCCAGCTTTAGATCGAAAATTCTCTACCCTCGTATTAGTTAAACCTTGGCTGAATATTGTAACACTTTCGGGCTAAAAGTCCGACTTCTTGAATACATGAATAATTTGCCTCCGCATCGGGTTACACAAATACGCCGCGCCGTATGCGAAAACGCTCCTCGCCCCGATACAACCGATACTTGCACACATTGTCTCCATGAAATATTAGGTCACCAGTAACGCCAATTCTCACACTGACCAGCCCTGCGTATGACAGGCCTGGTCAGGCATAAATGTCCACCCAGTCTCCAGCCGCTGAACGATAAACGGTCGCGCTAGCGAGAAAAAGCAATAAATAGTCATCGATCGGGAGATCGCCCAAGCCGTCCAATCCCGCTCCCAAACCCGCCCAACCGCGCCGGCGGTTGGGGACGGCGAAAACATGAGCAGGAGATGTGATCGAAGATTTCGTGGCGAAAAACGTCAAAACCCAAGAAACCCGAGTTGGAGTGAGCCGTTGCGGTCGAAGGCGAAAAACATGCGGTTCGGCGAAAGCCCGTCGATACGTACCAAACCCTTTCGCCCCAACCGCAGCTTTCGCCTGAACTCATCCGAACGCGTTTCAGAGAACCGACCTGGAATGCTGCTGCATAGTGTGAAACAGTATGCCATTTAACGGACTGTGCAAAGCGCCGTGAAGTACTTGTGTGTCCCGGTATGACTGGCACTTTCGTTGGTAACGGATGGTCTTCGTGTTCATGAGGTCAGGCTAACCTCGGAGACAAGGATGTAGACATATCTGCCACTGAATAAAAATTTATCAAATTGGCCTGAATTTGAATGGGGAATAGGTGAAGCAGCGCTAGTACTATTGTATAATCAGCGGTGCTTGGCTAGAAGACTGAATAATGTGCAACACTTTGATGCTGCTGCACGGCATAATGTAAATTATTAATGCCTCGCCTTTTACAGTTACTTTTTTCATCTCACGCGTTCTTCCTTTTACTGTTAGTTTTTTTTTTTCCGTGCGTTATTCAGGTCATCGAGTTAGACAAGGATATATATCGGTCCAGAACGAATCCATCTTTGGTAGACATGGCACCGGTACTACCCCGCCCAACAACTAACCTTAAACGGCCATGCTCTAGTGCAAAATTTTATTTGACCTTATCTCTTATCACTCGAATCTTTGACTAAATTCGCTAAGTGTTTGCACAAAATTGCCACTCGTAATCTTTGATTGACTTGTGTTTATTTTAGGTCTCACTAATCTGTGGCATACCTAGCGTTCAGGTTAAGCGTCCAGGGGATCGACCTGTAAAATGTACTATTCTACTCCTTCTCGATTACCAGCCTATGAAGTTCAAGCTCCATCCTCTCGTCTATGCACGGAAAGGTGTATTTTGCAATGGGTATCATTGCCCTTGTTACGTGCGAGCATTTAATTCACATTTTCTAAAGGTTCTGGTGTATTGCTGGCTTGAAGACGTAGACTTAAAAATAAGCTGTAAGGCGTTGTGGCTAGTACCAGCTAAAAACTAAACACTATCGTCCACAAGCTGCAGGTGCCGTTGTATTATTTCTTTCTTGTCCGTCACTCATGGCTTTCCAGTTGACTACTGAAGCTTATTTCTATCAGAGCCTCTTATAGACGTTCTTGCATATAATGTCGAAGGAGTGCTTTGTCTTCTTTTTTTCCAGCTTACAGTCACCAAAGTTCGGAAGTTCGATTCCGAACGATGTCCAATATTATCCATCGCTGTTTAACAACCACCACTCCTTGCAGCATAGTTGCGGAATCCGAATTCCATGAAGCATTATTTCGAAAAACTTGGGCAGTACGCAAAAGTCTCATAGTAACGTTGCATTAGGGAAGATGATTTTCAGCAAGTTATGAAGGTGGTAATTCCAAAAGAAAATTTCTGGCGAATGCAGCGAATCGCTGACCATCTCCCATTCAGGCACCGCAGAAGTCCCTTACTACGTTGTGCGAGAGAGATGTGGTGCGCACTATCCGTTAACGTATTTGTTATCTCGTCTTTGTCATGTATAATGAGTCCTATTAACTAACCTCCATATCTCAATTTGAATAATGTTCCGCCACTCTAGCCTAGAAAAGCAGTGCTGATAGTGATGCCTTGCGCTTATTCCCCAGTAGATTGTATTTAGAATACTCTGACCTTTTGCTCCCAAAATAACTCTCTGGTGACACATGTAACTCTGCTATCAATCAGTAGTGGATTTGAACACTGCTTTTGCTATGTCACTATAGAATGCCTTCATGTTTTGTTTTGTTCAACGCCGCTTGTTTTATTTTGTCTTGTGTTAGTTGGAGGGAGTCAGGATTTTCTCTCATTGACTTCTTTTTAGGATCCTGTAGATCATGACACTGTGAACAACGATACTTTCCTCGAGCAGGTTTTCAGCTGTAAGCGGATGCGATTTATGGAGAATTCCACAACGGTTACATCAACTCTTGCAGCAGCCCGATCCACTGGTTAGTTCTAAACTAGTTCTTCCATAGGGTATTCGTAATTCTTTAGCCTTTCCAGGTTCTTTCTCACATTATCAAACACAACGATGGTGGTGCCGAGAAGAATACCGCTTGCTATGACATAGGTAGGGTTTACTAGCGCGTTTCTGCTGTAGTTCATATTTTTATATTTTTATAAACACAAGATTACACAGCAACACACAAATTTGGTGTTGCAATCTAACCACAAGAAGTGATAAGAATCGGGCACCTACAGCCGAACTGAACACGGGTCTGTACAAGGCCTGTGTTGAAATTGAACCTCCCTTGGATAAAAGGTCTATGTGAAAAGCCGCCCGTGGAAATAAGAGCTTCACCAGAGGATCTTTAGAGTGCGTCCTGGGCCCTCAGTGTATCACAGGCACATCTCGATGATTCGGTCTAAATTATGACTTTTACGATACTTCATGATATTTTCCTCGATCTTCATCTGATCTTCACCCATGCTCCAGATGGATGGGGAGACGAGAACAACTTTATCATAGGGTTCTTGAACCATAAGAGGGCTGAGAGATCTACGCAGCAGCCATTAGTATTGAAGCCTTCTATTACGGGCTAGCAATTCAGTAGCTATTTGGAGTTTAGTTTGCGCAGCTGTGGTCTTGAACCCGTCTCACTTCCTGTCGTTTGGCTTCAAAAGAGTGCGGCATTCACGGAACTCAGTTGCAGATGTTGAAGTTGAAGACCCACTCAAACAACATATGGCAGCCTTCGTACATGCCCAAGCGAACACACAGGACATAGCTAACCTTGACCAGAAGATCTACGACGTGGTAGATCAGGTGAGTATGCATAGAACTGTGAGGAATTCTCGCTGTAATCTGCTCTTTTTCTCTTACCGCTGAGAAAGAATATTGAAGATAAACGAATGGAAGACTCGTCGAGATTTCTATGTACGCTTTGCCGACCATCCTCACGAGTTCATCAGGAAATGGCTGGTAAGCCAAAGCCAAGATCTCAAGGTAACTTTGGTTCTTTTAATCATATAGTGAGTCTATTTTCTCGTCTGTCTCAAACTGGTTTTTGCAATAGACTATGACGGAAGCGAGTGGTGAAGGCGAAGCGGAGCGACGAGCAGATCACTACTATAGGCCAGAAACGCAAGAGGGTGTTTTCAGGTAAGTTGTTGGCAATCTATTCATTTCTGTTTGATTGTAAGCAAATATTTGCTTGTGGTCGTCAGGTAAGCCAAATGCAATAAAAGAGAGGCTGCTAAAGGAATTGATCTGTTGGTGCATGCTAACAAGTCTGAATCTAAAAGAAACGTTGTTTGTTTTTCTAGCTAGTGCCACATTGTTTGGGCAATTCTCATTCTTTACAGACGTACTCTCCGGAACAAAATTGTGGCCAAATCTATCCTGGTAATTTCTCAGAATATGGCTCGAACTCAGAAGAGTAGAGTAGGAGCTCATATGGGCGGCTCCCTGAACGAGAATATTACATTTGCTTGACTGAATCAAGTTACTACCCTCCCCTCCCCCCACCCTCCCTCGTCAGAACCTTTCGAATCAAATCCGGGGCATGTCTGGAACGTATGCTACGAGCAGAATTGCCTCTGGCATAATTAGCGAATTTGATATCCATTTCCAAAAGTGAGATTTTTCCCGAGTAGAATGTTGTGGATGAATCTGTGAAAAACTACCCACAGTGTGACCTCAACTGCAAGAATAGGGTAGTAAATAGTAAAGCGATGATGAAAGGCTGACCTTTAAATGAATCCTCTTGAGGGTCGAGGGAAGAGAAATCGTATCTTGTAGGAACGACGTTCCCAACGTTGTGTCGCTTGAGTTCTTTGAGCGATGTCTTAGCGTTAATATTTTTATTTCCCGCTCACTTGCTTACATCTTCGCACGTTTGCTCACCTGGTCGTATCGCGCTTACTTTTTTTATCTTTGAGACTTCTCATCTAAACCAGTTATTGACTCCGGTTTCTGTAGCCGGTTTACGGAAACATCTTGTGCAACGTTTCTTCTTTCTTATTCGCTTTCAAGCAAGATTGTTGTTTAGACTGAGATAGAACTCACACGATTTCATTCTGAATTTCAGGTACATCTACCAAAAAGTGCAACAGAAGAGGGCCGAACTGGAACAAGGACTTGGTGTCCGAAACAATTAGTCTTTTTCCTCTGCAAGATGTGTAATATAATAATTATGCTCTGCAGTAATCCATCTGTAAGCTGACTCATCTGAAAATATTACTGCTACATTTTTGATCTTTTCCTAGTGAACATCAACTTGCTCTTCTCAGTTATGTTTTGTTTGAGCTATGGTATTTATAATACAACGGTTGGTCTCATTATCAAATCTTATTTTAAACACTGTAGGTTTTACTGATTCAATTTTAATAGAATGCTGTGTATCAAATAAACTCCGATCATACAGTTGTTTGCATGTATTGGTGTGACAGTAGAGTAGCATAACTCTAGTATTTCCTTCACTCACACATTCCCTGTGTTCGAATTTTCTTTTGTTTTGCTCGCAGTCCTTGCGTTATCGAGGCTGAGTTGGATTGCAGTTGTGTTCTCCTGAGGACTCCCTGGAGAGTTTCGGTTGGGGATGGGGGCATTTTAAAAACTTCTAGAGCTTCGGAAGTTATGAGTTCCATCTTCAAGCAGCCTTTTGATGAAAGGCATTCTGTAAACTCACCTTCGGGGAACACTACCCTCTGTCATGTGCGAGGTGGCTACTTTCTCGAAAGTGCACGGGATCGGAACCGGAGGGTAGTGGTAATCGGCCACACGCCTCACCATTGTCAAGCGCGCTGCTTGTCTGCGTCCTCTCAATTCTTCTTCTCTTAATCTGTGTTTGGCTGCGGTATTTCGGTATCGACACAAGTGTTGCATCCTGAAGATGGCGCGCCCAAACGACCCCGAGTATCAGACTCCTTTAGCCTTACTTCCGCGCGATCTCGTGAGGAAGAAGTTACACTTCTTCAACTGTCGTTTCGTTTTTCTCTCATTAGGGAGGTCTGTTTTCGGAGGTGGATGTACGATTTGCCTTTTAAGGTTGACCCACATCGGAGGATTGATCCGAAACCACTCGATCGTTTAGGTTGCGATCGTTTTTGTGCCCCTTTCTGCCCTGAATTTCAAATATGTTAAAAAAAAACGAAGAACGCCAAGGTGAATTCTGTGTTATTCGTAGTTAGCTTGATGACGGTTTACGAGTCCCTATAAACAAATCCGGGACATTGACGAAAATTGGTAAGATAGCCGATTCTCTGCTTCCGCGGTTTTTGACCTCGTTTTTGACCTGGAAGGTTATAGCCGAGGCGGTGAGTTCAATGAGTGTGAAGCACATGCGCGTTCCGAGTTCCTGCAGTTTATTAGAACAGAAAGTGTGTAATGTAGGAGCGGAAGCAGATGGCGTAAGTGTTGCGGTTGTTTTCACCTGCTACCTATGATGAGTAATCTCTATGCGTTCCCTCCAATTGCAAAAGACATTTTGTGACTCAGTCTTAAGTCAGTGACGAAATACGTTATAGAGACGTATTTGCTTTCGAGAAAACAGCTGGCAGGGTTTTCTTAGGTCCAACCTCTCTACCTGTTTCTCTGATTAAAGGTGTGGGGGTACAGTTAATAAATCGCTTGTTAAAGTCAGGTGCTAAACTAGTTGTCCTGAACTCACGTCGAAGTATTGGTTTACGATTTGTAGATGAAAGCGGTGTAAGGCCTCGAGGCTAAGGTCAAAAACTGGAACTCGTGTCACTCACGCACTGCTATGCCACGTTTTTGCTCTGTGTCCCTTGGGAATTGGTATTTATTCAACGTTTCATTCACGTCACTCATATTGCAAAGGGTTTGTACGGGCGGTTTGTGAAGTGAGCACAAGTTGGGAGAACCGCAGTGAAGTTTTTCACTGAATGCTGTTACATTACCATTTTCACTTTAAATTCACCACTTTTCAAACCAAATTCACCACTCTTTTTAGACCGGGCAGTTCACCCACCAGATCACGCCAGACACCACTGCGAACCCTGCCTCGACGGTCACGCCTACTTGTCAGCGCGGACATAGATTTTCAACACACGACTCTCTAGAAAATGGTTCATGGCCGACTCCGCCCACTTTTTAAAGGGTTTGTTGCGAACCTCGAAATTTCATAACTTTTTCAACTTTTTGATTTCACATCCACACTCTTTGCACAGAGAAGATACTCGTAACCGCGCATTCACGCTCCGGCAATTCAGGCTCTCGGGACTCGGATCAAACTGCCTGATTAATTTGTTCCTAGTGACGGACGAGGCCAGAACATGCAAGCCAAGGCTCTATACTGCCGATCTGCGCCATTTTGAAAAGTGGGCGGGGCTTCTTCAAAGTGGGCGGAGCCCCTCCGTGTGGGGGGGCTTCACGGGGCAGTCCAAAAATGCAAAAATTTTGAAAAAATATCAAAATTCCGCAAAAAGCAAGTGGGCGTGGCCAGGGGGCGGAGCCTGAATTGCCGGAGCATGAATGCGCGGTTACGAGTATCTTCGCTGTGCAAAGAGTGGATGTGAAATCAAAAAGTTGAAAAAGTTATGAAATTTCGAAGTTCGCAACAAACCCTTTAAAGACTGGGCGGAGTCGGCCATGTGTTGAAAATCTCCTGTCACGCTGAACAAGTAGGCGTGACCGTCGAGGCAGGGTTCGCAGTGGTGTCTGGCGTGATCTGGTGGGGGAACTGTCCGGTCCAAAAAGAGTGGTGAATTTGGTTTAAAAAGTGGTGAATTTGCTTTGAAAAGTGGTGAATTTGCTTTGAAAAGTGGTGAATTTAGAGTTAAAATGGTATATTTCTTTGCTGTAGTTAATCCACCGGTTGTGAGATTCAACTTCCTTGAAGTCCTCAGCCTCACGTATGTCGCAGTCCCTGCTCCCGGTATGGTAGCTTGAGATGGTGTACCATCGCGTGGAGATGAAAAAATTGCATTATGATAGAAAAAAAAATGAAATTTTGTATTGTCCGAGGCAACCTTTAGTGATGTTTCAGCGTCAGATAATTTGTAGGCGTTGACTTAGCATCAAAAGATGAAGCATTGTTCATTTCCGAATATTGGCTTGAAAAAAAAGGCAGTACGTGTTTCGCAGCTTTCTCGTCTTTCGCCTCAAAGCACTGCCATTGTTTGATGCCTTTGTCGCGATGTTTTCCAGGTGAAACTTTGGCGTTTTCTTTCGAGTTCTCTGTATCTACTGCGAGTAAGATGCATTTGGGGCAGTAGTGGAGAGCGCTTTTCATTATTGTGACTTTTTCCTACTGGCGTTTCGAGTTTTCGGGGGCGGAAAGGGAAAACATAGGGGGAGTGGAACGCGCGGCGCTCTTAAGGGCCGTCGACCATTTCGGGAGAAATATCAGCGTTTTTAGCGAAATATCGGTATCGAAATATAGGCTAGCATTGTAAGCGCCTGGAACATTTCGGAAAAGCGCACACCTTCTGAGCAAAAAGGAATGAATAGTTATCGATTTGCCGTCATGAGTCTTCCGAGGTTTCGGACATTTCGCCCAAAACGCCGACGAAAAGTATGAACACAGTCTTGGTCAGGGAACCTTCGCAAAAGCGAGTGCGTGGGATGTGCATAACAATGCGATAACATCCACAATGAATTATTGAGTTTGTTGACGTCAGGTGTAGGTGGACTAGTGGCAAGTGGCGCCGTTTTTCGCGTGCGAGGTTTGCGGGTCAAATTTCGGATCAACTTCCGCTCAAACCAACTAAACATACACTGCTTCCGGGGACGGTATATGGCTACCAAGTTCATCCAGGAGGATAAAAACATTGACTTACACATCGGCTCCCCTTTGCATTTACTCGCATACAGTCCACGCCCCATCCCAGAAAGGAATTGATCGACGGCTCCGTCCTTTTTTTTCAGAAAATTGTCGTTTTTATGCAAGCTGTCGTTTTTACGCAGTTTTTCTTGCGGGAAGAAAATGGAGACTGCGGGTTTACTTGATTTTTTACAAGGTGCTTTTCCTTCGGTAAGCAAATTCTAGTTAAGCACCGAGGCCCTTGCTTCGTATGTTTTTCTTTCATTTATCAAGCACTTTTTCTCCCCTATGACTTCTTAAGTCATCTTGTTTTTTTTTCTGATGAAGCACCACTACGACGAAGCATGGCTATTATACTGGCTATTGTATTAGGTTGTTCGGGAAGTTCTCAGCGTTTTGAGTGTTTTTTACTTTAAACGATCATAACTTTATTAATACTCATCGGATTTAATCGAAATGAGGCACCGTGCGAATCAGCCCATTCTTGCCAATGTGACCTCAGTCGATAAATCCCCATCGGAAAAAACTGGCATAAGTCGAGAGTCCACGAAAATCCCCACCTCTGCCACCCCCTCGCCCCCCCCCCCCCGCCACCACCCCCCGCCCCCCCGAAGGTTTTTTTTGCCTGGTCCTGATTGATGAAGTATTTTCCAGCAGAGAACTTCTGAAACATGTGGGCGGGCGTTGTCAGGCAAAGGAATCGGACCCTTGTCTGTTTGGAAAAGTTGCTGGCTGCAGCTGACGCAATTTTCGGTACATTTCGTCGATTTCTTCACAGTAGGACTCTGCTGTGATGGTTTGGCCTGGTGACAAAAAGTTGTAGTGGATCACACCAGCCGATGACCCACCTGCAAACCATAAGTTTATTGTCAATCGAAAAATTCGGCTTTGGAAGTTGCCTCGGTGGTTCATAGGCATCCAGCCACTGTCCGGAATGTCTCCTGTTATCATACATGATCCACTTTTCATCACAGGTGACAATTCTGTCCAAGAACGGGTTGTTGCAAAAGCAGTGAAGAAGAAACCTCGAGACGTGCCTTCTGCCGGTCACTCAAATTGTGGGGCACCCACTTGTCGAGTTTTTTCACCTTCCCAATGCGTTTCAGACCATCCGCAACAGTGGATTTGCCAACGCCTAGCTTTTCTGCAATCTCTCGTTTGGGATGGGTCAGCCTCCACAAACGCCTTCAAATCCTCGTCAGGTATTGCTTTAGGTCGACCGCTACGAGGTTCATGGCTGAAATCTCCAGAACGAAATTTGTCGAACCATTGTCGCACGGTGCTTTCTCCAACACTATTGGGCCCCCACACCTGGTTAATTTGTCGAGCTGTCTCGACTGCGGATTGACCCAATTTGTAGTTGAAGAAAAATAT